ATTGAATGACACAGGATATATAATTGATGGATCTTTGACTCTTGAGGTTTGAGTTTGCATAAGTATTTTAAGATTTGATTTTCTTAGTCAATATTAAAATGCATTTCCTGTGGGTTGATGAAGCAAGTATTAAATGCAAATTTGATAATAGGAAAGGTTTGGATAGGGGTCTAAGGTATGCTAGATCCTGTGCATCTGGGCAATAGTAATTATGCCACTCTTAAACTCTGCTGTTCACATTTGATTGTCAGTGCGTGGCCACTGCAAACTCACTTCAACGTAGCCTTAATTTTAATGAATGTAGAACACAGATTATAGCTTTCTTCCAAATAGGGGGAGTTACTAAATTACTAATTACTAAATATTTCCACCTATGAAGGAACATTTCTGGAGTCTTTTTTTTTGAAGCACACCTAATGTTCAGATTTGCCTGAATAGTAGTTGCCATGCAGGGCGGAGGATTAACATGGGTTATATTTAAAGTGTTGTTAGAAGAACGCTTCAAGAAACAAGTTACAGCTGCTTCTAGCATGGTCAACAAAGTATGTTCTGATGGCACTAAACAGAGTTGTAATTCATAGTCTGTTCGTGCTTGGGTAAGCATCTCTACCTGTAGGCTTCTGATTAGAACTTGTCCTTTTTCCAGTCCAACTACAGAGGCTCACAAAGCTGTTGCACTTCTAACGCTGGTAAAATTATTTAACCTTTGTTTCATGGGTTATGATTTTGAATTATTGTCTTTGTGTGGTAAGAAAGCACACTCACTTAATAATAAACATTAGTTTCATTTGGGTAAGGAATTTAAGTTGCAGTACTCATCATAGGCAGCCACGATGACATGATGTGTCAGTGAAGCCATTGCGGTCATAGAGCAGCAGGGTCTTTTCAAAGAGACTTACACAAGTATCTGAATCCTGCCTATGAGAGTATGTGCTGCTACTGTTAAGGTGCCCCTGCAGTACTGGATTGTTAGTCACTCGTGAGTGTGACAGACAATAGCTTTAAAGTTGGTCTGTGTCTCAGTGATATGTAAACAAAGGATTATCCAAAAAGTTGATGTGCCTAATGAAAGACAGACTTCTCTTAATTATCTCATGTGCAGCTTGTTTAACACTAACATAACTTCAAAGGAATTCAATTTTAAATGAGCTGGAACTTCATAAATTGTGTATAAGTAACTTCTGGTTTCATAACTGTTTCTTGAATCTAAAATTGAAGATATTAGCAGATTGGAAGTTTGAGGTGCTTTTAACTATAGTGCTTCAGAGCTTATGCTGTTCAAATAATGTATCTCAAATGATTGTTTTAAGAATTGAGTTGAGAACTGGAACACTGATCGAAACAAAATATTCCACTGGTTGAAGAGATAAATATTATTAGATGATCTATGTAGCTTAAAAATTTGCTTTCTTTTGTAATACTTGAATTTCACTGTTTATAGTTGCATTATGCATCACCACTTCATTACAAAAGTGGACTGTTGGAACTTGCTGTAACAGGAAGCAATTGAATGTTGCAAGGTTTGACATCAAAACTTCATTAAGAATATTTCCTTAAGTGGATTGAGAGCAGCCCTGCAGAGAAGGACTTGGGGGTGCTGATGGATGGAAAACTGAATATGAGCCAGCAATGTGCGCTCGCAGCCCGAAAAGCCAATCGCATCCTGGGCTGCATCATAAGGAGCATGGCCAGCAGGTCAAGGGAGGTGATTCTCCCCCTCTACTGTACTCTGGTGAGATGACCTGGAGTGCTGCATCCAGCTCTCAAGTCCTCAATGCAGGGAAGACATGGACCTGCTTGAGCGGGTCCAAAGGAGGGCCACAAAGATGATCAGGGGCTGGAGCAGCTCTCTTATGAGGACAGGCTGAGAGAGTGGGGGTTGTTCAACCTGGAGAAGAGAAGGTTCTGGGGAGACCTTATAGCGACCTTCCAGTGCATAAAGGGAGCCTACAGGAAAGGTGGGGAGGGACTCCTTATCAGGGAGTGAAGTGATAGGACGAGGAGTAACGGTTTCAAACTGAAAGAGGGGAAATTTAGATTAGATATTAGGAATAAGTTCTTCACTGTGAGGGTGGTGAGGCACTGGACTGGGTTGCCCAGAGCAGCTGTGGCTGCCCTCTCCCTGGCAGTATTCAAAGCCAGGTTGGATGGGGCTTTGAGCAACCTGGTCTAGTGGGAGATGTCCTTGCCCATGGCAGGAGGTTGGAACTAGGTGATCTTTAAGGTCCCTTCCAACCCAATCTGTTCTATGATTGTATGATTTGTAGTAAGATTTTTTTTTTGTAGGAATCTGAAAGGAAACTGTGTTAAGGTAAGTCCATTCTGTACCCATGTCCCAAGCAGCTTTTGTACTGTCAATTGAAATGCCTGGTAAAAACAGGCTACTGGAGATTTTCTGGTCTGATTTGGTGTAACAATTGCTAATGTTTAACCAAGTTTTCATGATTTGGAGCAAAACTGCTCTTGTTCAATATTCAGAATTTGAAGAGTCTTCACACTGTCCCTCTTGGGAACAGTGTTCCACAGCTATTTCATAACATGAATGTACCAAATAGTCTGTAACACCACTAGAGCTGATCCTCACAACCACACTGCTTTTGTAGTGTTAATGTAAGCTTATAGAACTTGTCTGTGAACCCTAAGGGTCTGTTGATACCTTGGGACATCATTGAGGTACTTGAGAACATCTGAGAACCCCTTTCAGTATAAACTGCTGTTAGTAATAGCTAATCACTGAACTACTATGTCCTAACAAAAATGCATCCAGAGTGAAAAGCACAGTATGAGCTATGATTAAGCAATGTTATTGCCCTTAAGATTACTTGCACATGAAAAAGTCTTGCCTTGGCCCAGTATTCAGTCTCAAAGCTTTTCAATGCCAAGTGAGCAGTGACTAGAGCTACAGCTTTTCCTAATGTCATGTCTGTACTTGGATTTGGATATATTTGGGCCTTGAGTGCAGGGGTACTGCTAGAGGCCGGAACGGAGCTTTTTCTTAATTAAAATTGAAACAAGTTTGATGTAATTAGTTGTGGGGCATTCTGGGTTTAGTCTATTTTTGCCTAATTAGCAGCTGCAGCATCTTCTCCATAGCTACACAAATTCATTTGCTTGACCTGCTTCTTGTTAAACTGTCATAGCTTATGATCAGATGCCAATTGATAAATCCTCCTAGGCTTCTATTGGCCAATAGCATCCAGCTTTTGGGCATTAGATAAAGATGCAGTGTGGCTTTAAAAAGCACTCTTCCATACATGATTTGCATGTATTTCTTTGCTGATAGGATACTCTAGCAGACCACATTATAGTCAGCTGAAGAATGTATATTAATCAAAACTGCATCCTAGCATGCAGGTTAACACCATCATCACGGACTCTTCAACTGTCATAATATTTTTTGCAGTAACAGAGAAAACAATGAAGATTTAAAATGTATTTTTGAATTGGGTACCTTGTTATAGGTATGTTGAAGTTCTATTCACATGAATATTGATTGCTTTATGCTTTTTATCCCTCTCCAGAAAACTGCCATAGACAGT